ATAAATACCAAGGATAAAAATGCACTTGTAAGAGATGGCTTTCAAATATCTAAACATAAAAATGGGGAAAGAGATAAATTATAAGCAAAACATAAAAAGCTGAAAATACAAACAAATAAGGAAAATAAAACTGAAGCAAAACAGCAGCATTTATTTTGTTATACATTATTTTATTTTGTTTTACAGAGAGAACAGGAAAAAGTGAATTGTGTCATTTTTTTAGGAGAGAAAATAAAAATAAAATTTCAAGATACTAGAAAAACAACATTAAAACAGGATTAGTGGAAATCAGTAGTCATTCAGGTTACCATCTATGTATATTCACCAGAGTTGCTGGTTCAAGCATCAATAGCTGAGCTGCAGACTTGGCAAAATACTGTTATTTATGGTCTGTTATCCATCCAAGCATCAGAGATAATTTTTTTTTATATATCGAAAACCTTTAGCATGAGTGAAATTTTCGTCATATGACACCTGAGATGCAGTTGTAAATTCTAGTTCCACAAATAAAATAGGAAGCCATGAAGCTGACATGGTGCTCTAAAGAGCACGAACAGTCAACCAATGCTACTGTTGAGACAATTTAATAATGGTGAAAAGAGAAACATTGCCCTTCCTTCCTTCCTTCCTCCCTTCCTCCCTTCCTCCCTTCCTCCCTTCCTCCCTTCCTCCCTTCCTCCCTTCCTCCCTTCCTCCCTTCCTCCCTTCCTCCCTTCCTCCCTTCCTCCCTTCCTCCCTTCCTCCCTTCCTCCCTTCCTCCCTTCCTCCCTTCCTCCCTTCCTCCCTTCCTCCCTCCTCTAAAGATTCTCTAATTACCTATTACATCAAGTCTCCTGAGATTTTCACTAATTAAAAAAGCCACAGCTAAATTATCCTCCATTTTATTGAAAATCTCAACTGTCAGACCTTTTGCATGAAAATTACAAAAAAGAGGGAAAATATGTTCTGTAGCCTTTCCTTAGGAGTCTCTATATGGTAGGGTTTCCTATAAGTATTAAGAAAAGAGGTAGAGTCCAAACAACATGATGAAATGACATTCGTGACAGAAGAAAGCGAAAAAAGAAAAGATGAAAGAAAGTAAAATTTCAATGTCTCAAAAAGGAACTAAACATCAACACAATCAGTTATTACAAGGGGTTTTTTCCACTTCTACACAATAATACAAATGGTTTGGCTATAGGTGTTCAAGATCATAAGGACCTTAATTTAAAATAAGAGAAAGAAACCAAGAGGTTATTGGAGGAAAAAATCACTAAAAATATTTAAACCAATTATATAAACATCTATGATATTATTAAATGAATGAAAACTACTATTATTTTTACAAATATAAGTATTTGATGTGTATTTATTTTGAAAAATTGATATTGATTATGAAAAATTTAAAATATAGTGAAGCAAAAATTGTTATGTCTAAAGTTAACTCAAACTCAAAAGTTCTTTCTAAATATTCAACTGTGTAAAATTTCTCCAAGCTGAAAATCCTATTCTTAGAGACAAAAAAAATCTGATTTAATCCTTATATGTGATCAAAGATCATGATCTAAAAATTAGACCTTTTCTGTAATTATATATGAATCATAAAAGATCTGTAAGCCTTGAAGTGTATTTGTAATGCATAAGCTTTGTGCTGCAGAAGAATCATTCAAAGAACCCTTCAAAAATAGTTATTTTTAATCATGTACATGTAATAAAAAATTATTTCCCTCTGGATTTTTCATTTATAGCTCTATCAAAGTATAAAATAGTATTTTTTTCCTGTTTTGGAACCCAATGTTAAGAATTTTTTAAGTACTTTTGGATCTGTAAAGTAGAATGAGTAATTTTCTAAAAATAAAATAACATATTTTGATTATATCTGTCTGTGCTAGATATATTGAAATATAACTTACATGCTTAAACTACATGTCACATGCAATATAACATAGTGACATGACAACTTTTAGCACTTAAGAACAATCTGAAAATCTCCAGAATTTATGATTCAGTTTGAAACCTATTCAATAAATCTGTCCTTTCATAAACTTTTTAGACCAAAGGTAGCAAGAAAGAATATTTTTTAATGAAGAATTCATTCATAAAGAGTGGAGATACCTGGAACTTAGCTCCTCCTCCCTTAATTAAGTGACACTCATATGTTGAACTAACTTGAGAAGAGGGTAAAATACTCAATGAAAATTTGTGGCAAAGATATCAGAGTATTTAAATGGAGAAATTAAATTCCAAATTTATTCATAGAGAAATGTCATCTGTATTTGCTGTCCTAGCAAATATTTGTCTTACATTTGCAACTCTAGACACCACTGTGTTTTTCCCAACAAGAATTCATTGTCAGTTTTCAAAGGGAAGGAATCACTATATAATTTTCACTGACAGTATTTACCACAATTCAAAAAGAAACTACTTATTGCTTGGAGACTGATATAAGAATGCAGGTGTGAACTCTAAGTAAAACAGTCAAGGAAAGAAGAAACATGAGCAAGCTCTGAGAAAGGAGATTGAAAACAAACAGAGCCTGATGGAAACACTTCAGTCTTTGTTCATACTATAAAATTTAAATCCTGAGACTGACATGATATGTTAAGTTTAACTCAGATAGCATTATCTTTATTTTATTTAGATTTTTGAGGCCCAGCAATTATGCAAAGTGACTAAATCCTGATTCCAACAGTTTACTTAAATCTTAGATTTATTTGGTACTTTTAATCTTTTATATAAATGGTGCATTTTCCTTTCTACACATATAATATACCAAAATTATCCATTTCATTTATTCACTGATTATGCATTTTACATGTTACCCTTGTAAACATATATACTACAACACAGTGACCTTTCTCTCTGAACTTAACTGACAGATAAAACAAACAAAAAAAAATTCTAAAACCATTTTTCAATAGATTTAAGTGCTACAGCAACTTTAAGAGCCATCTTTATTCTGTAGTCTATTTTGATTAGAAACTCTAGCTGAAAAATATAGAATCATTTAACCTTTCAAAAATAAACAAATTGAGTTTATTAAATTACTTTATGGGAAAGAAAACCTTTACAACAATCTAAAAATATTCCCTAAGGGAAAAGAAGGGCTTGGAAGCAAATGGAACATGTGAAGTACTAACCATATGGAAACACCCAGTGTGGTAACTATCTGTCTGGAATTCCTCACTAAATTCTTTGGCCTCACTTTTGAGGTCTGAAATGTTGCTTGCTAGTAAAATGCACCTAATTTTACTAATAACACACATGTAAATAAAGGGCACAGGTATACAAATAAATTGCATATATTCAAATAGATTGCATGCATTCAAATAGATTATAAAGTAAGAATTGATAAAACTGGAGAAAAATTTAAAGCAAAAATTTTTAAATTGAGAGAGACTAGTGAAAATTATGGTCCAGATTAGGTAGCTGGACTACATTTTCCACGTGTACTAACACAGTCTCTAAACTTTTCTGAGTCCTAAGTAAAATAATTTGAATAGAACAAAGAGAAATAAAATAAGTTTTAATCTGTGTTTAGTTGTATATTATTTATGGGAAAAGACAACATGTTTCATTCTGTGTTATGAAGAGTAAAGATGGGGAGAGCTACTGTTTCTGACACTTCTGCAACTTGTTCAAATGCATTTTATTTCAAGATTGTCTTAGTGCAAAGCTTAGGAGGCCATACTAGAGTTTTCATAAGAATGTTTTAAGGCTGAATAATAGAAGGTGTATAAAACTGTGATTTATATTTGCTTCTGAATAAATACTTTCACAATATCTACCTCAATCATGGAAAATTAGTTCCAGATGAGGATGTTACCTAACAAGCATCAAATCTAATAGTTTAACAGGCCTATGCACTTATTCATGTGTAAAAATGCACATTTATAGAGACGGACAGAGTCCAGCTAAATAAGTTTGCTTTCTATGTGTGTGTGTGTACTAGGCATTATAAATATACACATTTAAAGATAACATAACTATAATATTCCCACACATTCTTCTTAAATGTGTGAAGCCAGGCGTACTCAACATCTGTTGCAACACCAATACCAGATTATCATTTACTAGAAAAGCATGAAGCACAACCCTAGTAAATATGAATAATTTGATTACCACGTTTCAGCCCATCTGCTGAAATCTTAAAGCAAATTGAAACAAGATAAGTAAATATTTTTTTCAAGTGATTCATGCAGTTTTTTGCCATCATTAAGAGGTTCCACTTGAAGTAACTAGTCTTCTATCTATTTGAAATGACAGTGATGTGCAGAACATGTTTCATCTCAATCTTTGACCTCATGTCTATAGAGAAAATGCTATCAAGAAATTCACCCAAATAAGTGCAGAAAGGAACAATGACATCATTTTTAAATTTATGAAATTTTTTATAAGAGACTGAATTCAACTGGCATGACCAACTGAGAAAGCATTTTTTGAAGAACCTGAAGTAATACCTTCCTTAATCACTTACATTCAATTGTAATGGTACCTGGTGTGACATATCATTATATCAGTATATGTTGACATTTTCATCTTACTTCCTGCACTTTATTGTTAAAATTTCAAGAAAGATGAATATCAAATGATGTGTGTGTTTGCACTACACACAGAGAAATTTCTCTAAGACAAAATCTCAGATCCACCATCAGAAAATGAGACCTAACTCGTATTGCTGTAGCAAATTTTGTTATAAAACAAAATTTTGTTATAAGACCTCTTATATATGTTCTCAGAAATAAATTCTGAGTACTCTGTATTTCATATCTTGACTTAGACATACGCTATGGAAAAGCTAAACCAAAACAAACACTACCAATGGGCAAAACAGAGATGCTTTATTTTAAAAATTCTACACTAAAAAAATAATGGATACCAATCTACTTGCATCAATTCTTAAGACATGTGCCTTTTGAAAACAGTGGTATTCAAATGGAATTATCGTAAAAGTTTTACAATTTTTATAGAAAGGTTTGAAATCTAAATGCATATTTGAAAGCCTGTAAAAGTTGACTTACGTGATCAATTAATTCACGAACCATTCCATTCCACTGTCCACTGGCATCTTCTTGGGCTCCATATTTTCCATCTTCCACCAGTCTAATCTCATAGGAAAATCCAAGGATAGTAGACAGCTCCCTGAGGAGGTCAATGCAATAACCTTCAAAACGATCATTTCCATACAAGGGTTTGTCAGACTTCTTGAACATAACATATGGCTCTTCCTGTAAGAATCAAGACAGAATGGATAATGAGTGCCCCCACAACTTTCTTCTCATTTTTGCCTTTAGTAGTAGACACTCATGTGCTTACATATGCATACACTCATGACATCACTCCCTGTACAACAAAATAATATGAAAACCAGAATCTTTTTGGCTTTGGCTGTGTGTGTCTGAAGTCTTCATATATTTTCAAAGATTAACTTTGTCCTTTTTTAAAAAAAAAAATTACACTCTCAACACTGTAGACATGTCTTCAAGGAATGCATATACACACTAAATTTAAATGTGCTCCTTAGCTATTTGCATTATACAGTAACATAAAGTGTACTGTTTGGATGGACAATGTAAGCCTTTTAAAATGCAGAAACAATGTGCAAAAACTTTCATTAAAACTCCAAGAATCCATCAAATATTTTAGGTATTAGATTTTACACTTTTATTTATATAAGTATTTAAACTGTTTTCTCAATGCTTTCTTAGGCAAAGTATAAAAAACTCACATGGGAAGGAAAAATTCAGTGGAAGCACCTACTTTATTGCCTCAAGTTATAGGCTGCCATTTACAAGATTGCAGCAAAACCTGAGAACCTTTACTCAAGAAGTTCTAAGATAGACATTCCATGAAAACTGAATTAAATTTCTTTAAGCATTTATCTTCTAATGTTTAAATCAAATTACAATGTAATACTTTTTGCATTAAGTGGTGTGCAAACAGACAGCAAACAAATTAAAATGATTGGCAGAAATATCATGATTAGAGGAAGAAAATTTACAATTTGCAAAACAGTATTTTTACATCTGTTTCTCAGTATAGGGTGGCCTTTCTCGAACAGAAAATTAAAGGGAAAAATACAAAAAACAATTGGTAGTTTTCCACTGTAATATGGAACTAATATTCAAGCTGTATTTGTTAGGTTAAACATGCAACTTGGTTTTCACTCACTTTTGGGAGAGACCCTTTTCATTTTTTTATAATTAAAAGGAAAAAGAACCAAGTAAGGTAAGACAAGTAATAGTATATTCAATCATTGCACCAAACACAAGACTCAGTGAATATTCAGATAAACTCTTCAGGGCAGCTTAAGAAAATTCTTACAGTCCTAAATACCCACATCAGCCTCCACAGGCACCTGACTGCTGTAATAAGTCAACACTCCTAATGTAATCTTCTGCCTTGAGTTTTCCCATGGTTTAAACATTATATCCACATATAAATGGAACTTTAATGCATAAGATTTTACCCAAAGAAATGAAAAGGAGAATGCAGGGAAGAATCTTGTTCTTTAAAGAGCTGTTATATACGCCTATTGAAATAAGTAAGGTTACAGACATATTTTCAGAAAGTACATCACAGATCTTTATACGATTAGCAAGGAACAAACATGAAATATATTGTCCAGCAAAACTACTAGGATGTTTTGACAGAAATTTCTCAAACAACGGGTAAACAAATGACTCCAGAAGAGCTCTTCAAGATGTAGTACAGACAAGAACAAAGACCTAGCAGTAAACGTGGAAGTTGAAAACAATTTAAAGGACAAGGATCACCGAATAATTCCTGAGAAGCAGAGATGGTATCAGAGTAATAACTATGTGTGAAAATAGTTGTTAATAAACTTGGGAAGTTGATATTAAATATCTCAAAGATAACAACTTTACAAAAAAACAATTTTTTCAGGTTAAATTACAATTCCTTAAAGAAATCACACCACTGGCCAAGCAGAAGCTATGCTATGACAAAACATAGTGTGCTTTATTTTTTCTGGGGGAGCAATTTTCTTCACATTAACTAGTAAGGTTTGGATTTGTGCTCATATCAGGGTTACAACACAGGAATATTTTCATTGCTGCTGAGCAGTGCTTACACAGTGTCACGGCCTGTTCTGTAGGCATGAAGGAATTCCAATGTAGCTTGGAATGCTCACATGCACAGTTCTGAGACATTTGCTCTCAGAGTTGATATTTACAGTCTTACACATCCCCCAGTCTCTGGAATCCTGGCAAGATTCTTGACAACATTTTTGCCTCTGTCTTCCATTCCAAGCAATCCTGAGTTATCTGGGACAGAATTTAAATATGTGCAATATCAGTGAGGACATATTTTTGTCAATTTGTGCTTTTAATTCTGCTTTACTTAATAAGCATAGCAGGATTTTCTTCATTGAGCAATTCAGCTCATTGATACTTCCTACACATTTTTCTATCAGATCATTATAGAAATCCTCAGACATTTTATCTGTTCTGCTGAGGCGTTTTTACATTTTATTAAAGAAAAATTAAAAAATCCTGCAAACCTTTCTGGAATTCTTAGCTCCAACTCCATATCATTTATATTCTTTACTCTGGCCAACTTGGATAAGGCCTACAATAGTATCGGTACTACTATTTAATGATTCTCAACTTTTGCTGAGAAGACTGATCAATAAGTTATTAATACTCTCTTAATGCTTTCCAATCCTACATTAAGTAATTTCTTACTGCTACTTTTTCTTATAGTCTTCTACTATACAAAACATTTGTTTTTTTTCTCTTCAGACCTTTCACGTGCTATGTAAAGTGATTTTTTACTTAACTTGAGCAGGGTTGGTGTTGTCAGCTTCATCTGTAATAACTCGTATTAATCCCAATGTTTTCTCTGGTGTGCTTCTTCCTCAAGTAATACACATTCTAAATACTGAACATGGCATTCAGGTATTCTGAACGAGTGCGTGCAAAGGGTTTTACATGCTTCATTTGCTCAAGCTTTAAACTTGTAGAATGGGCTAACATAAAACTAGTTGCTAAACATACTCTCAGGAAAGTCTCTATTCATTAAACGTACAATCACCATAGCTTCTTGGTGGATTATCACTTCCACCAAAATCGTTCACTAGGACAATTATCATTGATTAGGTACATGGAGTTTTTAAACTGAGTGATAGGTAGATTGGCTGCTGGTTTATACTTAGTTTAACATTCTTCACAATTTTTGTTCCTTCAGTTCCTGAAAACATGACCCTTAAAAATTACTAGACCACATCACAAAACCAGCACTTGAAATCTTCTAAACATCTTCAGCTGAAATTAAGTCTTTCAACTGGACACATCTCCCCAGGAAATCAGAGAAACCTTCCATTAGTGCTTTTATTATTGCTTGGAACTATATGAGTAGCTTGGAATGACATGAGTAGCTTGGAAACAAAAAGTCACTGATTAAACACTGAATGTGGATTCCAGAATGAATCCTCAGGAAGACACAACATTTCCAGGAAATATTGCTACTCTAAATTAACAAGAGGTTAGCTTGTTACAAAATTTTAAGATCAAAGTTATTATTTAATATCTCATAAGACTAAAATATCTTTAGTGAAGAGGGATGCAGAAGGGCCCCATCCCAAGCCACATAAGCACTAGGTGAGAATGCAGATAAACTTGTAAATGCAACAAATAATTTTTCTGAGAAAATTTACTGAAAAGTAAACTTAGCTAAAATACTGCAAATAAAGGTACGGCTACAAGGAACACTGGAATCACAGGTAGATTAAAAACCATGTGACGGTTATTAGAAGATAAATCTTTGAAAAGTAATTAATATTGTAACTTTGCAGACTGGTTTCAGTTTTAAAAATGTACAGCTAATGCTTGAATAAAAGCACATTTATTCTAAAACAAATTTCTTCAATTTTCTCTTTTTGTTGTCAGATTTGAACAATAAATATTTACTTGAATTATTTCTGTGAGTCATATTGTATTTCAACTACAAAGATATTACTAGAAATTACAACAAGTTTTAAATTTCAAGTTCTTTTCTTTTTTATTAATATTAATCGAACATATAAATTTTTCCTTCATAATTTCAACATTGAATAACATATTTTTAAAAGAATCTAAAATTTATTACTATCAGTATTGAGAAAAGCAAAAAAAACCAAAGAAATTTTAATAAATCAACAAAAAGAAAGTGAAGGCCTAATGATGAAAAGATGAAAACCACTTGAAAATTTGCCACTGTTAGAGCAGAGATTTTAATTATTAGCTTCTGCTCACCAGAAGGTCAGATACTGGAGTGTTAAAAGACTGCCCCATCTTCTTAACATTTATATCAGATAGAAGAAATACACAACAGGTTTTTACAGTAGGCAGTCAAAATTCTAGTGAGAGAGGTGAAGCAACTAGTTACTATCAGTCAAAAAAATTGATGGGTGACCCATCTTTATAAAGACAGCAGGTAAATTTATTCTTTTAATTGTAATATTTTTAAATATATATTAATTTAAAATTTGGCCATTGAAAATGCATGCTTGGGCATCCAAGAGAAAAGAGAGAGAAATTATGTACTATCCATTTGAGAAAGAAGTATATATCAATAAAATACAATGTGGGAATGCTATACTTTGAACTAAGTAAAATTGTTTAAAAATTTATTATAAGTATTCCTTCTAGTTCCTTCTAATTCTGTTCCTATTTCAAACCAACTTTTTAAAGGAAGTACAATAAAAAAGGTAATTTCACTTTTCAAATGCAAACTAACAAAACAAACTAAATTTGAGAACATCATACACCTTTCATAACTTTCACACATTCCTTGGAAAAATTAAACTTGACAACTGTGAGCTTTTCTGAGCTTTGATGTAAGCAGATACAGAAAAGTACATAAAAGCTACACAAGAAAGGAAACAAGCATTTATTTCAGAAGAACAGGGCAAATGAACCAGTATGATAACATCTACAGGCTGGTATGAAATTAGCATAAAAAAGCTCTAAGTACCATGAACATACCTTTATAAACATGGAAATTGAAGTCCATAGTTAAAACTCTCTCAAAATGGAAGTAGAAGATATACAAAAGCAAAAATATTTAGAACTTACATATAAAGTCTAAAGAGAAGAAATGTTTCAGAGTTCTGGTCGGAGTCAATTTAGGCAAATCAAATAATAATAAATCCTTATTACTGAAGTTGAAAATCTGTTTTCTGTAGTTTTTTTTTGCTTGGATTGTTTTTCTAAATGCAGAATATTCAAAAAGTAGACTTTTTAAATGAGAAAGAAATTCTGAAGTTTCAATGTAGATAGTTTTAAAATAAAACAAAGCAACAGTACCAAAAGGATTGATGTGTCCAAAACTATAATTATAAAAGATAAAAAACAGCATACCTATTATTTTTCAAAAGTTGCCCCCCTTCCCTAAAAAGACCTGACTATTTCTCCAGTGCACATGTTCAGTTGGTGCTTGGGGCTGCTATGAATTCAGAACTTGGAAACCAGAGAGGTTTCTTCACAAAAACTACATGTAGGTGGATTTCTGAGACAGGTTGAAGTCCTGAGAACTGTCCCTGTCCAGAATAAAGCACTGAATGTTGACAAACCAAGGAATAATCTTTCAGCTAGCTACATGTAAAATACATTACAAAGAACTCAAGACAAAAAGGTGCACATAGCTCTGTCCTTAGTTAAAGTAGATGAATTTATGAATCGCAGTTTATACTTTATTATTTTTCCCATCAATATCCTTTTCTTCTTCTAAAGTCTCAGCCACCAGTAGAAATGCAGGGTGTATTTACAGATGTAAAGATCTAAACGATTGCAAAATATAGGAAGAAAAATATATTGCTCTGAATTTCAGAAACAGAATTAAAAATAAAAGAAAGACTGGGATATTTAAATGAAAAGTGAGCATTAAGGCAAACTACAGAGAAAAATGATTAAGACTCCCCAGATGGCAGTCTACTATAGACTATTGTAGGGAATTCTGAAAGTGAAAAAAAATCATAGGAAAACCATATGAACAGCTTAAATGCTAAAATTGCCTTTTCTTTTTTCATTTTAGCAAGATTTTGCAGACTCAAAAAAGGAGAGAAAGGCTGATGATGTAGGTATATTTTTAGGAGCTTTAGTATTTTATATTGTTCCTTTGCATTGCTACAAAAATGAATATTCAACTTTCTGTTCAACAGAAATGATTTTTTTAAGTATGAAAAAGACAAAACTAGCAAATAAAGTTAGTACATGTGTTTCTGCACCAAAAATGGTTTGGGTTCTTTTTACTATTCCAAGTACAGCTCTTCCAATTTGTACCACTTCTTCTGAGTACCATTCTTCATTGCTGAAAAGAGTAACTGCAATTACCAAAACTTTTACTGAACAGTAACTGAAGTAAAAAGGCAGCTACAAGTGAGCAACTTGTAACACCAATTTAAAGCCCTTTTTTTAAAATGCATTATTTAGACACCTGCAAAGAGGATGGATACTTATAAAGACCACTAACCAAAAGTTAACTCTTAAGAGAAAGGTTATCCTTGATTATAGAAAGCACCTTTTCTCTTAAATCTCAGGAGTCTTCTTTTGCAAGCTTTACCGGATTAAAATCAGTGCCCATTGGCAGCACTGCTATTTACATTTGTGCTATTTACCATTTCTTCAGCTAATTACTTCAACCAAAATCACACCAGTATCACTATATAAGAGCAATATGATACTTGGAGTATATTAACTCAAACCTCATCAACAGGCAGATGTTAAAGCACAAACAAACTTGAAACACCCTAAATTATTGAGTGTTTCTTATGTAATCTTCTGGGAATTGATCCTTGTCACAGTATTGTTATCACAATCTGGAATCAAGCACACAGTGATGGCTATTGAAGACTGCAGACACAAAGGCCGGTTCATTACTGAGTAACAAAGGGGGCAGGTCACTGGCAGAAACAGGACTTTATTCTGTAAAGCAGGAATTCTAGCAGCCACTAGGTTCACATGAATTAAAGCTACAGATCAGTGAAAAGTGCCAAGAAGAATCCTAGGCAGGATATCTGATACAAAGCAATAGCAGCATAGAGAGTTTGGGAGGTCAGCTGGAATTATTAATAAAATTTACTGGACAATTCAGTAGTTTTACATGTAGAAAACGTGATAGTGGGGAGAAAACTGAAACATTAATAGTCTAGAAGATATGCTTTTACTATAAGAGAGTATATGACATTCATTTACATTTCATTTAAAAAAAAGAAACAAGGGATTATAAATTCATAAACTAAATTATAACTATAGTGTACGCAGTAGTTTTACATGTAGAAAACGTGATAATCAGTGGGGAGAAAACTGAAACATTAATACTCTAGAAGATACGCTTTTACTATAAGGGAATATATGACATTCATTTACATTTCATAAAAAAAAGAAACAAGGGATTATAAATTCATAAACTAAATTATAACTATAGTGTACTATTCCTATAATTAATGGTACAAGAGGAAGTTGTGGTAAATCTGTGTTTATCTTAGCATAACAAGAAATTATTTGTGAAAGTGAGTCAGTCATGTTCCATTTTATATATCTGGTGTGTATTTTTCAATTAGTAAAAGAAATGAAGTGAAGGATTTCAGAAGATTTTTCTATCACTTGTAAACAGACCTTATAAGCAGTGAAAAAGTTACCCAATGGATGAAATTATATGACTTATATTACATAAAATGTTAAAAGCACACTGGCATTTGTGTCTATGCACCTGTAAAAATTCATTCTACTTTGAAATGCCATAATATATGTTAGTAGGTTAAAGCTTCTTAATAAAGTATACAACCACCAGGAAGCAGATTTGTTTTTAATATCTGAAAATTCGTGATAATGGTGGCAGCAAACAAACACACCAGACAAATTTCTGGAAAGTTTTAAATTTGCATTGAAATGAAAATTATTGTTTCAAAATTATTGTGAGGAAATAAATGAACAATTATTTTTACATAAATAAATGTGTTTATTTATAAGTAAAAAATACTTCATTAACTGCTGTGAATTTGTCAACAGTGAAAATAATACAGAAGTTACTCAAATTGTTTCTTCTGGTCTATCAAATCAATTCAATATCTGTATGCCTAAAAATTTTGTCTCAATAATTGGGCAATAGCAATTCTAAATAAATGTTAAATACTTTGTACCTTCCTTTGAGATGTTAGAATAGCAAACAAAAGCAATAAATTTTTGCTGGCTAAAATCATCAGGCTAACCGACAAAACACATTTTAAAACCAATTATCTTTTGTGATCTCATATGACACTGAAAAATCAGCTTTGTAAAGAAGAAAACATTTCAGTCAATAATAAGTTAAATTACTAAGCAATTAAATAACTCTGAAATCAGGGTAGCCTTCTCACAATGAAGGTAAGAGTAAACATCCATAACTACATTATCAACTGGTGTTCACTCATGACACCAAAAATTCCAAGTACTTCCAAGTAAATTCCAAGCAATGGTAACACATACTGCAGACTGTTCACAACTATTGCAATTAGTGTCTCACATTCTGAAAGTTTTTCTGCATAACTCTATTTCAGGGAAAGCTAATACAATTGCTTACCAAAATGGTAGTGACAATTAAAGAGCGATTGGACAGGGAATCTGTGATGTTTGCTGGTTTTCCTTTTTGATTCTCTGTCATGTTAAGGCCGCTCAATGGATCCCAAGTTCCAACCTATAAAAAAGTAAATTACTGTGTAAATCACCCATTACTTACATTTCAGCACCTAGAAAAGAATACTTTAAGGATAAAAACAGATTGTTACCAGGGAAAAAAAAATATTGCTACGAATTATTATTAAATTTTGTTTCATTTTTCTGTCATTACATTTAAAGTCTGCTTATTTAAAATATGTTTAGCAATACCTTAAATTATGTTTTGTGAAGTGTGACATTAGGTGTAAAAATGATATAAAGAATATCTAAAGCTACTCTTAATACTTAGTTTTCCTTTTCTCAATATAAACCACATCTCAAGATAACACGGACAAATACATTTGCAGAGAAGAGAGCATTGTCTCTTCAAAAGGATTTATGCTTTTCTGTGATCAGAGGGAACAGCAGGACAAAATATGTTTTTGGGAAAAAGTAAAGGAGAAGACAGAAACAGGCAATAATTTAATTTATTTACAGATAAATCTTCAACACATGAGTATTTTGACATTTTATACTTCAAAATAAAATCTATAGGATTTTTATCTAAGTAAGAACATCCAAGGTTGTGCTTTAAGGTTCAGGTCAAGGACAGACTTACATACTAAGTAGTAAGTAATGAAGCTTATCTGTAACTTACCTGCGTTTTCATTCCGATACAATTATAATGGTAAATATAACTACCCATTTTAGAAATCAGAATGTTTGTATTACTCCATTGTCAAGGAAAGCCCCCACAAGCACTATTTTGGTCTTATTTTTGTTTTAGACATGATTTTAAACACCATTTCAAATACTAAGTAATATCTATAACACAAGGTAAAGATATTTTAAAAGTAAACCTAGACAAAAATTAAACATTTCTATAAGGATTCATTGCAAATATATGTATGTATGTATATAAATATACACCATTTTTTAAATTATCTTTTCAACTGGGTCCTGAGAGACTGTTTGCATACTTTTACGTGATTTGTTGCCCCAGGGCTGTAAAGTAAGTTTAGGATGCAATGTGGTGTGGATAAAAAGAGTTCCATTTCTAAAACTAGACTACAGCAGAGCATGAATCAGTGGATACTGTAATAAAGAAAAGACAAATTTGATCTCTTTTTCTATAATTTTCTGTTCCACAAGAATCAATATTTTGTCTGTCTTCCTTGCGTAGCACTAAGTTCCAAGAAGTCACTCTTTTGAACTTGGCCATTCAGTACCTCATAAACTGATCAAAAAATCAAGAAGGGAAGAAAGAATATGTGTGTCTCAGTAATACAATTGGAAAATAACATCTAACACATCATTTCAAAGTATTGAAATCAAGCCTTGCTACCAAAAAATCTCTCCTTCATTTACTGTTGTAATACAATTTCATTTAGTGAATTGAAAGGCTTTCAGAAAACACAAAATGTTCAGCCTTGCAGCTTGGCCACAATCAAGAAATTTTAAAAGGGTTGCTTACATTTAATTGCAGTGTTCTGCTAATTATGACAATCACAGTGTTTGCTTTACTGCAAAGATGAAACTAGACTAGAATAACAAGGAATGACAAAGACCAGAACTTGAGCCTGAGGCTACATAACTGAAGCTGAATTAGTCTCCTCTATGAGATATAACTTCAGGTACACAAGTAGCACAAAAATTTCCAAGGAAACATCAACATCTTCTATGATCAGTTTCAAATCCTAAATTCATTATATCATTTACTTTGTTCAAATTCATGTTTATAATTCGAATTTAGATTGGCAAAAGGCAAGACATTGCTGACTAAAATACATTATCTCCTACTTTTTGACATAGTCACAACCACAAGCAAAATAATATAAATTGTTAGAACTTGGATTTTATCTAACTACAGACTTAATCTACTGCAGACTATAAGAATTATCAACAGCATTACTTTAAAAAGAAACTTCTGTCTTGATAAATTGATTTATTATTTTTCTAATTAAATTCATTGTACTTTTGCTGCTGCTTTGTTAACCAAAAATCTAAGAAACGGACCAAAAGTCAGAGGTTCAAAATTAGACTTTCTTTGGATTTTCTTTGTTGATGAGCTCAAACCCAACAATTTGTACCACAGGTTCTTATATGTTACTGATGTATTTAGGCCCCAAATCACACAAATGTATTTTCAAAGCTGCTTCTACTAGAAAAGTTATGCAAAAACAATGCAGCAAGTTAATTATTTTCTATTTGTTTCAGCACATTGTTTTAATTTTTAAGCAGCTTTTTGAACTGAATAGATGTGTGTTTTTACTAGAAAAGCTTAAATGTCGAAAATGTAGGAAAAGTGCATCAAGGTAGTCTATAACTGAAATTCAAACAAGCTACAATTTAACTTATTGCATCACATTTGTTCCAAACAAACTTACAAATTTTCCTAAAAAATGAAACAGGTATTCATATATACACTTTAGAGAGAATCTTCACACAGTAAGTATATTGTAAATATTGACTATACTGACTATATAGTCAAGCCCTCTATAGCCTATTATTCTAAATGACTAAACTACTCTGAAATGACCATGACAATCCGAATACTTTAACACTTATTTTCCAAAGAACAGGATCCAAGCCAGGTGTACCCATGAACACGTGCTCCACAGTGAGACAAATAAAAATTATAGAAAGAATTAGCTTGGGCAAGAATCAGCTTATGTAAGTTGAAACAATTCCAAGAGCTACATTCATCATTAATATTACAGAGTATTCTGTAACATGGCAATGGCAGTGGTCCTCAAGAACACAGAATACAATTTCTCAAATTCATGTGAAGTGTTAAAAACTTGCATCCAAGCTTCCACATAGTTCACTTCCAGGTAACTATCAGGGTTACTACAGTCCCTCAAAACCAGATATTCCCACCCAGCTGGACATGCCCACCCAGCATCACTTTGTAGCTCTGCAGGCTACAGAGGTCTTGACTCTCTATAAGAACTGCTTAGCAATTTTGCTCAAACATTCCTGTGTTATCAATGGTGTTTTCAATTCAAAACCAAATCACAGCCCATACAAGCTGATATAAAGGAAATTAACTGTGTCCTAGCCAAAACCATCAAAATATTTCACCATCCCCCCAAAAAAAGAATCATTGTACACTTGTGAAACTTAAAATGTGCTGAGTTTACATATGCTCTGGAGCACTTTACAGAGATTCAGTCTCATGAGATGTTAGTCCCAAAAATTCAGTAGCTTTCTTTAGCATGTTTCAAAAGCCATTTATCTTCATGAATAGATAAGTATACTTTCAAGTATTATTCTTTTATATTATTCTTCAAAGTTCTCCTGAGAAAATTAACATTATTTTTGCTCTGAGTCAATCAAAACTGTGAATATGACTCACAGTGAAGTGCCACAAGCATTGTATTAGGAAGGATCATCGCCTTTCTGCAGTGCTACCCACAGACGAAGCAGCCAGAACCATGATCAACTCTCAAAGATTTGTCAAATTTATCTATACCTTCTTTTTTACTTTTGTGGAGTAATTAGTAGTAGTGGTGATTACATCAAGGAAATAATTATATTCCATTAGAAATAATAATGTTTCCTCATATTTCTGTATTTCCCACTTGCAAATTGCTTAATTTATTTTCCTTTCTTCTGTAATATTAATAATCATGCCTTCTTTGCCAAATATAACATAAATAACAATACTTCAATACTTCTGCATCCCACAGATTTACTATGTCTTTCTTTTTTTTTTACCCTCTATTTTTTCTCCCTTCACAACCCTGCAAAGTTTTCTGAGCAAGGTTTCAAGCCAGTTGTAACATCTCTTATTCAGGATTTGTGATTCTTCTTCAGTGACAAATTTTCATATCAAAAGCGATATTAAATTCAGGTATTTGTTATCTCCTTGAAGTATAAAATAATTTTCCTCACAATGCAGCCTCAGTGTAAAGACTGATTGATTGCAAATTATAATTTATTATGCTGGAGTGTCACAGTTTTGGATTTTCACTGTGCTTAATCATGAATAGTTTCAGTCTGTCCAAAGTGGCTGTAATAAAATTTTGTGGTGTATTGTATTAACAGCACTCCAATCATCTCTTAATTTTGTCATGTTCATCTTACAAGGAGATATCATTTTTGGCAGATATGAAATTTTATTTGGAAACACATACTTCTTATTGACTGATGCCTGATTATCACCTCTCATTCAAGAGTTTGAGGAACAAGTATTTTATGTAAAAGCTGAGATCACACATAGAATTTTTTTCAAATCAGTGAGGAATTGTTCTGTTGTCACTGACTTCAGCAGTCATTGAACTTATAACACATGATTTAGGCAATTTCCCAGTTACACTGGTTATACTAACAGGTAATTTATCTAGGACATTTTTGTACAAAATCTAAGTTTCAAAGAAAAATGTCTTATAGCAATTCTTCACAATAAATATTTCTTTCTTTTTTTTTTTCGCCATCCATCAATATTTTTCTCTTCAGGGATTACAGCTGAAATTGTTGAGTTAAACTATTGTCCTTGACAAAAGAGATATTTCTCCCTTATTTGGAAAGGGGTTAGAAGAAATAATAACAGTTTACAGTACGGAAAGATGGCATAGGAATTCTGTACACCATAATATGCATCTCCCCACCTTTTCTCATCCCTCAAGTGGGAGGATGTACAGAAGAAAAGGAAAAAAAAAACCTGTTCAGCAACTCTTACTACACAGACAGAGATGTCTGACAGGATGGTTTGGGAAGAACATTAAAAACATACCAGATAAGGACAAAGATGTAAAAAGGCTCCTGAAGGGAAAAGAGAATAGACAGAAAGGACATGGAAAGAGATTAACAGGTACAAGGGAGAGGGATTAGGTAGAAAGGGAAACAGGCAGGGTCAGGGAGAGGGAGAGGGAGAGGGAGAGGGAGAGGAGAGGGAAAAAAGGAGTAGCAGAAAGAAGGAGACAGAAAGATGGAGTGCACATGTGGAGGGAGTTAGGGGACTGAGAGAAGTGTGACTCATCACCACTTTAACAGAACTAAGTCTTGGAGGAAAAAAATCCTCAAAACTTTGAGACAGCTCATTTAAATTAAAGAACTGGTTAAAATATACTCCTTCAACTAGGAAGTGTATTGCTCCAAAATGTAATCATTCACTCTGGATTCATGAAGACTAGGGTTTGCATTCTTTCAGAATAATGAAGTTTTGTTCAAAGAAAAACATTTCTCTGTGGGCATTGATTTATCTTTTTCAGTAAAATACACCATATGTTTCATATGTTTAGTAAGCAATTCAATCGAATGTGCATACACTGGAATTTTCCTTTTCCTAATCTCATCTCCTTGCACCCCAGAGAAACTGCTCTGGTTTTGCTCATATACAGTAACTGATTCTTTCTGCTCATTCCAAAGTTTGTCAACACTTTTTGGTAAAAAAATAATATAATCACTTCCATTTATCACATGACCAAAATAAACCATGAAGGCAGCAAAATTATCTTCGTTTCTATGAAAATCTTTCTATACAGCTCAAGCACATACTGGGTGTTTTTAAATATCCATATAGTTCAAAAATTATTTCTGGTTTTGTCTCTTATTTAATTTTCAATATAACTCTTTCCCAAGATCCTTTTTTCTATTATGTGTTTTAGAGTACTACTGTATTTCCCATTGAATTTTATTGTCTTTCATATTTCTCTGTAGACCTTTTTTGCTTTATCTCTATATTTTCACTGATGTATATATCTCCTAGTGTATTGTCAACTGAGATTTTATTTTCCAGAAATCTCATGCTGCTTTGTGGTTCCCAAATGCCACCTAATGTTCTTAAAGCCATCCTAAATTATAAAGCCTTCCATTCCTCATTTTCAACACTTGTCACTTACATGCGAGCTCTTTAGCCACTGCTGACTTATTTAGCTATTACCATGACATTAATTCTTCCATTTCTGTTTCCAGTAAAAAAGACAGCTTGCACTGTACCTATTCTACTTGTACACAATACTGATTTACTTTCAAGTCCAGTAATTCTTTTCCCTGGCTAAGTTGCCTGAGCTCACTTCATGGGACACTTCATAGGAGAAATCTACTGTCAGTGTATTGCTGAACATTTAAAATATAGTTTAGTTCTTGAATCACAGGTTTTCCTCTGGGCAACACAAATGTTATTATCTATGTAAGTGTTTCAAGACAAGCTGATGGTTTCTGAGCCTATACTAATATTCCCAGTAAGAGAAAATTAATATTCCAAAGCTAGTCTTGTGATACAAAATTTTGAGAAAGTTTTTTTTTTCAAGCTAGCATCTCCATTCAGTCATTTACAGAAGAAAGAAAATGTGAATCTGCAGTATGTTCCCTTCCCTTAATTTCTGTTTTTATTTGTGCCCACAACTGGGATAATAGCTGATCGATCTTGATCTGAAAATGAAGGAAAACATAGTTCTTATAGAACACTGAACATAAGATCTAAATGCAACCTTCAAGGCAGACGCCAGTTGCAAAACCTTTCCCTGCTGGTCACAATGATATGAGACACTGTACCTTCCTGCAATTGCCTCTTCATGGTAAGGTGGCTGGAGGGAAGATGATCTGATTTCAGACCATGATGGTATCATATAGGCAGGCCAAATACCTGTACATGCTTCCTCAGCTCTTAAGTTCAAATATAGACAATACTAAGCTACATGGAAAGAGCATTTCCCAATTATTTGGTCTCTCACTCCACTTCTATACAAGAAACATTAATGTCAGAAGACAGCTAAACTGGTCAGGGTAGCAATTCTTAACTTTTTAGTACCACTTATAGAGATATTATGTTGAGAGCAGGTACACTGTTTTACATAACACAAGACATACTACTGTAAATATTTTTAGGGGATGAGTTTTGTTTTCTTTTTTTTTCCCACTTCCTTGGAGGTAATGTCTTACACACCTTTTCAAGACCTTCTTCCTTGAGGCTGATGACATCCAAATCAAAATCTGTCCTTAAGCCATTTGTTTTGTTGAATGTTATCCTGCCTGTGAGGCCTTCCCAGTGGGCCTGTGAAGAAAGAAAAAAAAAAAATTCTAAAAATATATACCTCTTCCTTTATTTTCTTTCTCAGAAGGGACAAACTACTCCTGCCAAAATGGGATCATTAATTTTTCATTTTGTGTAAATAATTTACCTTGTGACTGATTTTTTGTTTTAAAATATTTTGTATTTATTTTTTGTTAATGAAATCAAACCTTTTTTCAGTCTTCATAGACTGAATTTTTAACCTTTCCATATCAGGCAATAGACTCTTCAACTGAACAAGATAAAAGGCTGGAGTTTTTTTCATTCCTCCATCATTCATGCATGCATTTCCCCTTCTCCTTCCCTCCATACCTCCCCTGCCCGAGTCCCCAAGCTTCAATCAGTTTCATTAATGCTGGACTTATTTTTTTTTCTCAGAAAATTTCATTCAAATAAAAGCTTACTTTAGAAGATGCTGATTCCCCTGAAACCACACTGAGACAGCAAAAATTGAGGTCAGTGAGCCAGCCTTCCTAAGCTTATTCCTTATTTTTAATAAAGTGCAATAGCCTCATTTTTTTATAACTTAAAATCTACCCTAGTTCTGAAACTATACAAAGTAGGAGAGAAAATGTGGGAAATAAAATTATCATCCTAGAAGGAAGCAATATTAAAAAAATACATTCTCTGCAAATTATTCTCTTAATAATATTTTGTATGTCTAGATTGAGAAACACTGTATAAGGAGTTACAGTATGGGAGATTTGAATAGTCTACAGTGTTCACCTTTAGCACCTTAAATCTCCTAGGTCTACTATCCCTATCTGTCAGTATCTAAGCAGTATCTTGGGTTATCAAAGAAGCATATAGTAATTCACTATAGAAAATGAAGAAAAATATTGGTTTTAACCAGGAAGTTAAATTAATTCCTGGCCCCTTTAAACTGATGCTAGTATTTAGTTGCTGGATTTCTCATAATCAGTCTATGTATTAGAGTTTCAGGTGTTTGGGTTTTTATGCCACAAATGCTCCACGCAGACCAAACTATCTACAAACATAAGTTTTATTTCACCTTTCCATATATTTTAGTTCCAAGCAATACTTCAGGAAAACCCATCTTCAAATGAAAATGCTGTCTTGCTTGTTAAACTCCTTATACATAATAAGATGACAGATGACCATCTACTGAAAAAGACCAAAAAACCCCAAATGGAGTGAAAGAAAAAGAAAATGGGAAATGGGAGAAAAGAAGGCAGGGGAGCAGGACCCGTTATTAGTGACTCGGACTCACCTCCTTGATGAGGCTCATGAAGCGTGTCCCAAAGCGCCACGGCTTGTGGCGGTTGCACTGCAAGGAGCTGACGGTCATCTGTGGGAACTGCTGGACCGCCACTGACACCACGTGCACCGCATCGTACATCAGCGCTGCGTCCGTCTGAAACGACAGCGGCACCAGCACCGTCAGCGCACGGCAAACGCGTGGGACAGGCCAGCAGAGAGAGAGGGAAACAATAAATTGGCACTGCTCGTTCTGCTAAAGGGGACAAAAATGGTCCAGTTGTTTGTGCAGCACTGTAAAATGTAGCCTTGTTGCCATGTCATACATGAGTTATGTCAGGATCTTCAAGCAACCTCAGCTTTCTTCTTTTTAATGCTGTAAGAAAGGCTCAAATGGCTATTTTTCAGGATCATGGGAGTACACTAGTATCTGATGACTTAAGTTACTTTAAAAAGCAGTACGTTAGGGAGGTATATAAATCACTGTGCGCACGTTTGATTCAAGGTGGTTATTTTCATGAGTGATGCAAAAGAATAAAGGAAACAAGTTGAGAAAGCCTTAGCTATAAAGGAAAGTGTACAGGTTCAGGAAGTAACGTTTTTTGTTTTGAAATTACAGACGAGATTCCATCCCAACAGTACTCAATTGAATCATTAATAATTTTTAATGCGCACCAGTTCAAATCCCTATGGCAGAACTAATCAGTATCTTCAATAAATCAGAGGTAGATTAGAATTGCATCAAAATGCACATTAATTTTAATAGTTTTCAAGTCCCATCCTAAATAAATAGACTTAGACATAGTGTTTGCTAAGAAATGTTGTATTTCCTTAGCAAAGGACAGAGACAGCCTCTCAGTACACACTGCCATGCAGTACAAGTGATATCTCTCTCCTGTTCTCCTTGACAAACAGAGGCCTAGTAAGTCTCAGAACCAAAAGCACGAGAGGACCTTGGATTCAGGTGGTGGAAATGAGTGCTCCGCCATCTGCTCAGCATACCTTAGAGAAAAAGGACCTATTTCCCCTTCTCATTCACGTAATTAGTGAGCTGTGAAATTAGTTCTTTAATGGATAGGAAACCTGGAGATTATTGCGCTTGTCACAATACAATACAATGCAATACAAAATGAGCTTATATAGTGCCTTTCATGCAAAGGCATCCTGAGGCTCTTTACAATAAAACTAAACATAAAAATGCAAAAATATTCTACCATTATAGCCCATAAGCTACTGTTAAAGAGAATAATACACACTCACATTTAAATGGCTCTCCCAAGGAGAGATTTCAGAATTCAAACAGAAATAAATCCTAATTTCAAAAAAGCCAGCATAAGAGGTTTCAATGATCTCAGGCTCCAAGCAGTTTATGTAGGGGCTCCAAATCAGTCAGAAAATATTTTTGCTGCCAAATTGTTCATTATCTTCAAGACATTAAAGTGCTTTTAAGGCAAGCTGATATTTGACAAGGAGGCAGTGAAAAACCAGAAAGCTGGAATGACATGCTGAGTAAGCGTCATGAAAGGTTTAATATTCTAGAAGCAAGACTTGGCAGTAGTTGAAGTCTAGACAACAGCTCTTTTAATAAGTACAACACATAAATCTGACTCAGAAATGCAAACTGGTTTTTAAATCAGTTTAATTTCTAAAACTGTAGTCCTTGTACCAATGAAGGAAAATAGAAATTGCTCTGAGACTTTAGCAAAAATATCCCACAAAACAACAATCAGAAACTCAACACCAGCACCAACTGATTAATTAGATGCAAATTTGGAAGCAGAACTGTTAAGACTAGTCAGAAGGAATCAAATGGACATTATGCCAGATGCAGAACAACATGGCTTTCAGTTAAATTCCATAAGCCACTGAAGTGGAAATCTGTAGGATGACAAAAAACACCCAAAGATGTCAAAGGCACATGATAAGCTTCAGCAGATACACGTTGTGAGGCACTGGAACAGGGTGCTCAGAGATGTTGTGGATGTTCCCATTGCTGCGAGTGTTCAAAGCTAGTTTGAATGGAGCTCTGAGCAATCTGGTCCATGGCAGGCTGGGTTGGGGTTAGATGATCTTTAAGGTTCATTCCTACCTCTTAACATTCTATGATTCTGAAAACATCTATTCATCAAAGACAAAGCAAATGAGGAAGAAAATGCAATAGTGTCATATCCATAACTCGGTTGACAAGCCCTGTCCTATCAGATGGATAAATATGAACCCATATCTACCAGCTATTACTGTCATCAATATAAAATTACAAACACATCACAAATTAAGTATATCTAGATTTCCTTGCAAAGACAAATATATTGCTAAAATTCTTTTTAAAAGTCTGAACAGTTCTTAAAATATTCTAGAAGAAAATGTCCTACTCAAACTAAAACAGAAGTAAAAAATTAACCTTGATACATAGTATTCTTATTCTCTAATCAATTTTGTATCAAACTGAATTGGTTCATTAAAAATTTCAATGGAAGATACTGTACAGTTCACTTAATGCACAGCATGAGTCAAGATTATTTTGTTGATTAGTAAAGTATGCATAGACTTCATTACATTTTAGTTCTTCTGCTATCTTTACCTGCAAATTATCTGAATAATACTTCTACAGTAAGTAGAATAGCTTATAATTTTCATAGGCAGCTCATTATTCTCTTCAAGATTATCTTTGTCTTCCTATCTATAGTCAGTAAACTTTTATCCTTGTGAGATAAATCCAACTACATTTAAAAGGTCAAACTGTTCATGGCATTTTGCTTAGTGTCTGATGGTCACTAAAGTATTCTGAAAAATTCTGTGCATTAATTAAAATGATTCTTATGTTCTTTCAAGTGTGACTTCTTTAGCTGCATCAAGAATGAAAAGAAACTGCAAATGCTCACAAATGTATACCTGCATTTGTTTCCTAGGTGACCATGACAATAGTATTCAATAAATTCATAGAAGTGAAAGAACACTTACACATTTTATTGACATAGTCCTTGAAAAGGTGTGAACACAATAAAAGCAATTTATATAAAGTCTCTAATCCATTGTGAAACTTATTTCATCATATAAAATAAATAGCTTGTTACTGACTGGATTTCAGATCATAGTATCATCTGAAACAAACTTAATTCAGCCTGTCTATGGTCACTGGTTTAAGTGTTAACACGTCCATTTCATACTGCAACAAGCTTTTCTTGCTAAACTTGTATTTATGGCACTTGGCCTTCCAAGACTTTAGAACAGAATGAGAATGTTGCATTCCTGTTTCGCAAAAAGAGTTTAAATACACAAGGCAGGGCATGTTCCATAAGGAATGAATTTTCCATTAGCCCTTAAAAACTGCATTTTATTTCTTACACAATATTAGTTCCTGAGTTAGAACACTAGATGCAAAGTCAGGTTGTTGGATTAGGGGGGTTTTTAACTCCCAATATATCCAGTCTATTCATAGTCAGGTTTATGAAGGACAGAAATGACGTAGTACAATTTGGAGAGTAAGAACAGCAGCTGTTCTTTAATCTAAGAGCCTGAGCAAATAGTAGATGCTGCAGGTACAATGAGCAGGACAGCTTAATCAAATCTCCTCCCTTCCCAGCATAACTGTTTTAGGGAAAAGGAACATTACTTAGTCATCATTGCACAGTAAGGATTTGCAGTGTAATACTCATTTCAAAACCATCAAAAATGTCCTATAATCACCTTAGCCTATGAGCAGTACTTCTCCTTTGATAATTACTTACTCTTCTCTTTTATATTGAGTGACAATTTAACACCCAATATATAATTATTATTTAGAAAACCTTGAATAAATGGGATATGTCATAAACAAAAAAAAAAACACTTGCATTTTTTTGTTCTACCACCTGCCTTTCATTTTTCCCCATATTACTCTTGTATTTTAGGTTATTTCCATTGTGAGCACAGTGAACAGAAGTAGCCCTCTGTCCAAGGGTTTTTTAAATTATCATTATTTTCCTTTGAAGACTGATTTTCTTATAGAAGCTTCCTCTGCTTCCTTTCTTTTGAACAACTAAAAAAACTTTATGTGCAAAAAGTCTGATAACACTTAGAAGTCAAGAAGCAAAGACTACCTACAGTGCAGGAGAGGTCCTCATTACTGGCACTATTGCCTTCCTTAAAGTATGTCCTGTTTGATAAAAAATTAAAAAGTTGAATTTAATATAAATTGGATAGTAGTTCTGTAGTTTATTAGATATAAACTACAAAAACAATGATAGGTTACCTATAAAAATAAGATTATTTTTGCTTGTAAAAATCTGTAGTTCCTTTATTTTAGAGTCTACTAATGCTTGATTAGAAAACTTTAAGGGCTAGATCTTGAATTTTGTTAGGACAACATGATTTTAATCCATGAAAGAGAGTAACTAGTAACAGAAGAACTTTTTCCCCCAAATTATCACATAATGTGGTGCCAATGGTGCTAACATCACTCTACATAATTCACTACATATTCTTGATCAGATGCCTCCAAACTCTACTTTCAAATGTACCCTACAAAGAGATTTTTCAAGAAGGTCCAAAACAAGAGATTAATATTGATGAAAGAAATTTTTCGTTGTCTTTCCCAGGTGTGTTAAAGAACACAGAAAGGGAGCATGAATGAAAAATATTACAAAACAAACAAAAAACCTCTTATAAACCCAATAGGAGTCATTCTATCTTACTGATAAATGTGTAAGTTGTATTAGATTTAAATACCTTTAACAACCATGAGAAGAACTTGTGCACAAGCCCATCAACAAAAGACATTTCAGTTAGATGATGCCTGACAAATGCAGCACTGTGCACACAAATTCCAGAGACCAAACACACTACTACTACTCACAGAAAGCTCTCCCACACTCAAGGCAATTATAACAAGTGACTGAAATTAAGAAGAAATGGCTTGCAAAACTAGTTCCTCCCCTCCTCAGCTAATAAAATCTATTGCCCCTGAAATCATTTCACTTAATTCTCACTTGCTAACACATCCCACAAAACCATTTTGCTAAGTGAGATTTAATAAATCTTTCAGCCTGGGATTAAATTTTACTGTTTTATGAACTGTTAAATTGCATTGTATGCTTATTAATGCTCATGTTTTCTTACTTCTTGACACATCCCTAATTCCACTCTAGGGTACAATCATGAAAAGAGTACAGATATGCT